CACAGTATCCCGATTTGTGGACCTCCACGATGTCTTCCCCAGCCGGAACCATCTCAATATGAGGGGGGATACGGTAGGTAAACCGGAGTTCGTTTATCTGAGAAGGTTCAGTTTCAGAGATCACCGGAATGGGAGAAGGAGCATGTTCCTTGAGGAAATCGTTCCTGGACATAGGGTTTCTAGGGAGTATCTCTTCTACGATAGGGAAACTGTCACCCTCCTCAGACGCGATATCCTCACCACCGGAAGGAGGGGCCACTGATAACGGAGTGACGTCGGAAACTTCATCGTGTGCACGAGAGGTTCGGGGCATCTTGGTTATAGAGGGTGTGCTGGCAAAACCTGAAAAGAAGAATGGTAACTTAACGGGAAGATGAGAAGCAGAATCACAGAAACAAAGCTAAGAATTGATAAAGATGATCAAAGGAGGATACTGTATACACAAGGAAGGAAATGGCTGAAAATTTATGAGAAAACGAAACCCTCATCTATTTATAGGGCTGGATGGCGTGAAAATCGAAGCAGAAGACCACCAATGGCGCTAAAACCAAAGCGACAAGCATTCAGACGCTGTCTCGGGAAGATGCGCAATGATGACGTGCGTGGGAGTGACATCACATCTTGATAACCACATCAATCAGGATTCTGCAGGATGTGTCGCTCTCTCGATCTTGGTCAATCCGACGTAATTTAATAGCCAAATTCTTCCACAACGGAAATGAATGATGTCCACTTATCGAGGATATGCAGGGCTACGACCTCAACAAGTGGAGGGACTAACTGTATAGGTCCAAATTTGGTTATAACGGTAACAGATAAGCAAGACATAAGACGGGGTCGACCACGACACAGCGACCGACGATCGTTGTGGTAAAAGACGACGACCAAGAGCGGGCATCTGAGATAAGATAATAACTGTAACTTAAACTTAGAAAGAGACATGAAGAATATTCCTTCGGATATTCTCTATATTGTACTTTTTAGGGTTTTTTGGAGGATATCCCTTATAAATAGGAGGGGATAATGAACAATGAAGGGATCTGCCTTTTTGAGAACTAAAACACCTTGTAAAGTTAAGAGAAGAATATATACAAAAGGATTGTCTTATTCACTTTGTTCAAGCACATGTTGTTCAACCTTCATTCATAAATCTCAAGATTTCTCATCCATATAAACCGCTTATTTTTTCATGCAGTCAGAGAAAGGAAGTACCCAATCATGCAATCATTGAGTGACAATTCCTTTATATTTATTGCATATTTATGATATTACATGTTTTGTCTAATCATAGCTTGTTAAGCTTGCCAGCTAATACTCCTAAACTATTCTCGTTATACAAGAATTTCGCTCTATTTGGTCTAGGATTTATTAAGCTCAACTGAGATTTACCCCATTAATTTATTATTAATTGGTTTAGCAATTATTTGCTCAAACAATTATGACATTTAGTTAAATGTTTATTAGGCTTTGTTGATCTTGCAAAACGCGAGAGATGGAAACTATGAAGAGGTAAATTGCAATCACTCTGCATATAGATTCACCTATTACGTGCTCTGCCTGTACAGTTACTAGGCGAGCTTTGTCTACCTGTTTTTGCTTATGTTTATCCCAGCTTATCTGCACATGCTTGTATTTGGTATTCTCAATTTTGTTTTTTTACGGTATCGTAAATGCTGCTGGACTGAAAAGTAGTTGTTTCGTGTTGGGCGTTCTGTTTCGCCCTCTTCCTGGTTAGTCTATCTCACATATTTTAACTCTGTCAAACTGCAGTAAGAATGGATTTGAGTTTGTACTCTACACCAAATAGCTTGTGGTATAATATTCCAAATTTTGAGGGATCTTTTAGGGAGTTCTTCTCTATTCCAGCAAATAAGAAACTCTTTAGTGGAAAGCGGCATGGTCCAACTCATGCCGAAAATAGCAAAGAAAAGGCTCCACAGCTGAGATGTGACTCTACAGTGAAGGCAAAGGTGATTTGCATCTTCATGATGGACTTCACAGAGAGGACATGACATCTGCTACAAAGATGAAAGCCTCTTCTTTGGAGATTGTTTTGAGTGAGGCAAGCCTTCCTAGCCACCAACCAAGAAAAGCAAGAGACTTTAAGTGGAGCATTATTGAACCAGATCTTCCTCCAAGGCCATGAAGAAGTACTATCATTAAAAGACAACATTTTGTAGCAGGACTTTAAAGAAAATAGACCCTTAGGATGTCCTCTCCATTTAATAGAATCAGTTTTTTGTTGGTCGGGGGAGACATAGCTAAACTTAGATAACAGCTCAGAAATCCTATGCACTTCCCAGCCATTCAAATTCCTCCTAAGAAAGAGATCCCAGTCTTGACCTGGGAATTAAAGAAGCGATGCTAGATGCGAGTTTTATGCAAACCTACTGGTGACTTACCATTTTATCTAGCATTTTTGTTCAAATGTTGGAACAAGCTAAGTTGTCCGAATTACCATGTAAGATTCATCTATCTTTCTTTGTGGTGCATTTGTTCAAACTCACTTTCTTTCCTTTTTTCCCCCTTTTTTCTAGCCTATTCTTTTCTTTATGTTTTTCTTTCTTTTTTATACCTTTCATAGATTCATAGAAGAATTCCACATATTTTCACAGCTACAGATGGCTCCGACAGTGTTTGACTTATACTGTAACACAAACGGTCCCAAGCACAAACACAGGAGAAGGATTTGCATCTATTAGAACTCACATTATTCACTGTTGTGTCTTGATTCCTTTATTTGACTTACGAGGAGAAAAAAAAGGCAGAAACTGGTTTGGATCCTGACATACCACACTTGTTCTTTGAAATGGAGTTTGTTGCAGTACATTTGACTCTGTATACACCTTTCATGACAACCTTGAATTTTTTCTATTTCATTTGAAGCTCTTTTCTCTGTTTTCTTTTTAACATCATTTCACTGAACACAGATTTATGTTCAAATTTAGGTTGACACTTCATTTAAGGATACCAACGATAAGATCATCCTTATGAAAACAACAAATTGGAAGAATAATGTTATTAAGCTTCTTTGCTGTCAATACTGTAGATCGGTAAAAACAACAAATTTATCCCTTTAACTTGACTTAATTGTAGAAACAGAAAGAAAATGGATATTGTGGTCTTTTCAACTTTATCGCAGTAATATTCTTAATAGTTGAAACAATAATGTTATTAAGCTTGCTAATCATATACTTTTTCTGCAGCATTTTGTTGATAATATGGATCTGAAAGACATGATCACAATAGGAAGATTTGTGGGAACAATTTTTTTTTTTTTTTAAAATATCAATGGATCTAATCAGCCTACTTTTAGTTTCAACTCCTCTAAAGGCAAAATCAATCTTCTTCATGTATAGTGTGAGGAAATAAGTAATTCTTCGCCGCTCACAAGCATTTTATTTTTTTGATGGAGTTCTCATTTTGAAGTTATCGCCAGTTCTGTCTTCCAACTGAGGTTCTTATCATGTACTGCTCAGTATTGCTAGTTAATCAGACTTGGCTTTGAGATAATTACTGAGATTACATGAAATGCCTGTGAATTAAAAAAAGTAAACTTTGCTCTGGAAGAGTTAATGGAAGAAAACAATGGAAATCTGTTAGTGAATTTTGTGAACAGAAAAGTTCTTTCTGAGGTTTTAAAATCCTTGCTTGCAAAGTAAACCTGCCATTCATATCTTTCACCTTGATGCTTTTGCAATATGACTGTTACTTAAGCACGGTGCACATGATTTAGAACTACTATTGTGTTCTGCAAGGTGTTATAGGATCATCATGGAGAATTGCATGGCAAAATTGCCGCATTTCTAGACTGTCTCAACTCTCAAGGATGTTGGCATGCCTATAGTAGTATTTTCTCTCAGAGACAGCAGTAAATGTCCATTCTGAAGTTTCTTAGCCTCTTAGAAGATTTGAACGGATTGTCTCGACATGCACCATGTCGCTACACATTGACACATTTAGCTCACAGCATGCTTAGCATCTAAGCAGTACATGTAATAGCCTTTAGGTCTTGAGTTTGGGTCCTTGCAGACATTTTTCTTTAGGTGACACAATGTGTAATGAAATGATTAACTCATAACTGCCATGATCTCGTAGGCCATGGTAATAACTCTCTTCAGGGTACAAGTTCATGCTGAAGTGTACCCTATAAAACTGGTGCGATCTTATAACCCCCAATATTCCCAAGTTTGACTTTTGTGAAAACGATCTTGGAACGGTGTTTTGATGGCTCCGCTAGGTACGTATCGTGATTTAGGACTTGGGCGTATGCCCGGAATTGAATTCGGAGGTCCCTAGGTTGATTTGACTTGTTTTGCCGAAGGTAGGCAATTTGAGGTTTAGAAGTTTCTCTAAGTTTGACCGTAGGTTGACTTTTTGGCTATCGGGTTCAGAATTTGGTTTTGTGATTTGGAATAGGTTCATTTTGCTTGTCTGCAAAATTTGGTGTCATTTGGAGTTGGTTTGATAGGATTCAGACGCTTCGTTGCAATTCTAGAGGTTCTTGAGTTTTCCTTTGAAATTCATATGTTTTGATGTCCGATTCGTAGTTTTAGGTGTTATTTTTGTGTTTTGATCGCGCCAGCAAGTTCGTATGATGTTGTTAGACTTGTGTGGATGTTTGATTTGGAGCCTCGAGGGCTCGGGTGAGTTTCAGATGTGTTTCGGATTGGGTTGAGAGGCATTGGAGCCGGTTATTGAACCAAGGCATACTCCAGGAAGGGGAAGTAAGTTTGTGGTCAACCTTATGTACCAAACGACCCCTTATTGTATATAGTAAGGTATATAAGTTTTGTCTTTGGCCATACAAATATGTGGTTTTAACACCATTCCTCACAGTTCCTATTTTTATCTTCTTTTTGTAATCAATTTTGTCCCTTGGGCCTTAAAGGGCTTGACTAAATTACAAAGGTGAATTGTTTATCTACAAAAGAAACAAAAAGTTTACACTAATGCTATATATAAATAACAAAGAAATGGTGTTCAAAGTGCTGATGAAATTCAGAAGAAGAAGATTGTAGGCATTAGTATTGACAATTCTGATGAACAACAATCAAGAATTTAGAAAAGTTAGACTAAGTTATCAAACAAGTCCATTTTGCCCCTGTTATTTAAGGTGGACAGAAAGGGAATATGCATCCCTTGATGCTATAAGCCTTTAACTAACTTAGAAATGATACCAAATCCCAACAGATTAGTTCTGTGTATGTCAATTAAACTTTATATCAATCTGAGAACTCTCCTAATCATCCCTCATATGCAAAACAATTCTCAGCTTCTTTTTCAATTCATTTAGAAGATAGTAAATAAGAGTCACTTCATCCTTGGCATTGCATTAGTTGACATCGTAATCTCTTGACATCCGAGTGTTTCAGAGGCTTTAACATGAACATCTGAGCTCCTTCTTCCAAGCATCTGTTCATTTAATATGACAAAGTTCGAAACTTGAATATCTTTTGGGTAATTAAATAGTAGCAATTGATAACTTACTGATCAATTCGAGTTGGGATGTTCTCAGATGACATAATCACAACTGGTACATCCTTCAAAATCGACGATTCCTGCTAGCATTTCAAGTAATTAATTTGTGCCAAAAACACCTCATAACCGGAAAAAAAAACTAATTAAAGATGATTAAAACAGTAATGTTCAATGAATGTTGAATTATTACATGAAGACTACCTTGATTTTCTTAAGCAGCTCATAACCAGTCATTCCTGGCATGCAGTAATCTGTTATTATCATATTAACCTTTGATCCCTGCAGAAATAATAAACCAAAAAAAGAAAAGGAAATAGAATATAAACATTAGTACCATCCCTTGCAGAAAGTAAAGCAAATACAAAATTAACAATTATATAATGCTAGCAAAAATTACATTGCCATTTGTAGAATGCTCCTGTTCAGCTCCCAAACCCAAGTACTCCAAGGCCCTCAGACCATTTTCTGCAGTAGTCACTGAAGCAAAGTAGAAACAATTTTTAGAAACTAAAGATTCATTATATTCATCTAATTAATCAATTAATGTCAGGTTCATATTTAAGAACCCATGTTTAGAGCATAACAATTCAAAAGTTCTTTTTTCCAATTTAACCATACTCGATATCCGAACTTTATTGACTTGACCAATCAGCATTCAAGACCAAATAAAAGAGCAAAATGCTTCCTACCAAAAAAATATCAGATGAGTTGAAATAGATAAAATTATCTTTCCTAGGTACAGATGAATCAACTCGAGGCACGGTATTAATTTCTGGCCATACCGAGCTAGCTAGGACCCTTTTTCTTTTGCTACATCCAATATTTATCATCATAAATTATGCTATCCATGTGTATTTTCCTATTTCTGGAAAAAGGAAAATAATGAGAATGACATAAGTTTGAGTCTAAAAGTCCACATCAAAGGATTCGGAAAGATATTTGTGATCACGTATTCATAAAGTTTGGCATATCTAAAAGGTTGACCCAAAAGTCTAAATAAGATGGTGTCATTTTACTTTTCATACACGTTTACCCCACTTCCCCACCTCCCCCTCAAAATAAACTTTTCTCAAAAAATTTCTTTTTATTTTTCTTTAACTGCCGTAACATCGGAATTAGACGTCTTGAATTACATTGCACCTAATACTATTATGTGATAATGATGCAAACTTAACATATGTAAAGTTTAAAAACTACTAATGCTAATCAGGGGATTTATACAGAGGGAAGAGGGTGGAGAGGGAAGAGGGTGGTACGCCGTCCGATCGCTCCGATAGAATTTCATATTAGTATTGATATAACACTGATATTTCATGTAAAAAAAATATATTATTAAAGCATGGCACCCTGAGTAACAAAGTTGTGGTAGGTGCCATGATCTAAGTGCTTCCTGGCAGGCCCAAGACCCAGGATTTTTTCTTTGAAGGACCAAATATTTTTAGTTTGGTTATCACGTATGTACTTATGCATCAAAAATCTTATAAAGTGAACCAAATAATTAAAAAATGGACCGAATCGAGCCGAGCCGAGTTAATTCAAAAATGAGTCAACTAGCCAAATGTACACCCTAATTCGACCTCCTTGACTAGAGGTAAGTTTACATTAAAGACAGTGACACCCGTAACCATCAAATTATGGATCCGCCTCTAGTGCTAATAGTAGTTTCAATAAAGAAACTTTCAAGATTTTATATATGGACAGAGAATAAGATAATCAAATTGAAACAAATACTAAATTTTTCTTATTTGATAAAGAGAAACCGAAACACACACATTATCCACTCATTGTAAGAAAGTGAGATTATATTACCTTTGCAAGAGGATTTCTTGAGCAATCTCTCGACAAGTTTACGATCAACAAGATTGTCATCCACAGCTAGAACATGGGGTTCCTCTGTTGAAGAAGATGCATAAAAATCCATTCTTTTCACTTGACAATAATAAGGATGATAATAAAAGAAGATGCAAGAAAGAAAACAAGAATCAAGAATATAATCAAAGTGTAAAGAAAAAGCAATGTGGTTTGTGGGTATTTAAAGGAAAAGAAAGATACTTGGAATTTCTGAAGAAAAAGATTTTGAAGAAGGTTGGCGGTTGGGGGTATGTTTAAGGGAAGGAATCAGCAAAAAATAAAATCAAGAAGTGGTCACAGATGTTTTGTGATCTCAAATTTTGCTTCTCTTGATTCGATGTATATATTGTATCAAAACAACAATATCAGTATCTACTAGTACTGTTTCCACAGCTCATTCTCTCTCTCTCTTTTTAAATTTCAAAAGCAAGATTTTTTTATTTTATTTTTGAGGTAAACTAATTAAAGGGTACAACAACAACAATGAGGACGATCCAGTAAAATTCCATTAGTGGGGTCTGGGAAGGTTAGTGTGTACGCACACCTTACCTCTACCCCGATGTATGGAGTAGAGAAGCTGTTTTCGAATGACCCCCGACTCAAGAAGACGAAAAGAGACAATATATTAGTACCATGAACAGAAACCATACAAATAAAAGCATCATCATAAAAACCAGAAAAGAACTAATTAAAGGGTAATAATTAAATAATCCACTGTTTATGTTTATAAAAAGTCAAGTAGGTAGTGAGAAATTTTCTATTTGATATGGTCAGAATATGAGATAGGATCCAAAGTATCAGCACGCAAAATAGATAGGAATTTGAAAGAATTATGGATACAGTATCTTGCTAAATCTTAATAAATGGGGACCAAATCTGGCTGCTAGCATTGTTAGGATCTTTTACAACAAAATTTTCTCCTAATACAACTAGCTTTAATAGACGTGTTGTCACAAACACTCGAAATAAGGAGTAAATACTTCACCATTTTAATTCAGATACATTTAGTGCGTCTATTTATTTCACTAATTAATACATATACTTTAATTTCTTCGGGATTTTATTCATGGCGCTTTCTCATTCGAATTTTTTCTATGCATTGGACGGTGAAAAAAATATTTATATAATCACTTACTAGTAAAAATATAACTTAAAAACTTGGCAAAACGGTAACTAATTAACATGCTATCACAAGTTAAACTAAAACCGTTTCTTTTCACTCTAATCCTTGTAATTTTGGCTTATAATGGATTTGTTCTTAAAAATATCAAGTTGAACATATTCAGCTTCAAATGTTATCCTATAGGTAAGTAGCAGGGGCGCTCCAACATTGTTGGTGGCCTGAAGCAAAATCTCGATGAGGGACCCTAATTTGTTAACAAAATAAATTTGTATATTTTTGTTTGAAATCTAATTTTTTTAACTTTTTTAAATGATAATATAGCTAATCCGATCCATTTAGATTCTCCTAATACATTATTGATCCTAATGCAAAATTGTTATAGGAATACTGTTTTATGAGGAATATAGGTATTTAACGAAAATTAATTCTTGTTATCTTATTGAGCATACAGATCACATTATTATCTTCTACTTGTAATATTTCCTTTAACGTCGGCTCCCACCCTCCAAGAACTCCACACCTTGCTCTTGGAGTAACTCGAACTCACAACCTCTTGGTTGGAAGTGAAGGGTGCTCACCACTAGAGCAACCCACTCTTGTCAAAAATAAAAGATATGTTTATACCCTTTAAAGAAAAAATTAAATTTTACCCACTAAATAAAAAAATCAAAGATAACTTTATACTCTTTAAATTATTAAAATCTCAACTATCAGTGCTAGTCATAAATTAAAATTTTCTTTTCCTTTTTGTATTAAGTTATTTACTTTTTAACATTAACATACTCAATTTTTATATAAAAAAATTAAAATTACTACCAAGGGAAAGCGGGGCCCTTGTGCTGCCTTACCCTTGAGTCGCCTATGGTAAGTAGTAATATCAAACTCATTTAATGTGTGATGATGAAACTAACAACATGCAATTTGTTTTCCCACGAAATAGGGCCGAAAGGAAGTCGCATGAGCAGTGCGTCAGCTGAATGAGAATTTTCAGTAGCTTTTGTATTTTATTATTTAAATGACAAATTGTTTTAATGCAGCTCGATAAATGAGCTAATTAAAACACTGTGATTAAGAATATATTCCCTCAGTTTACTTTTAGTTGTCTAAGTATTCTAATTTTTTATTTTATTTTTACTTGTCATATTTCGCATATCAAGAGAAAAATAATTTTTTTTTATTTTACCCTTAGTATTAATTACTCATTACAAATCATTTTCGAAATCCATTAAGACTATACACCAATTAATATGAGTATCATGATAAATTATGCTTTTTATTTATTATTTTTTAAGGGACGTTAAAAGTCAAAAGTAAACAACTTAAAGTGAATGGAGGGAACACTAACTGTATAATGTATTACAAGGACCACAAAAGAAAAACAAAGATGCCCAACTTTATATAGAACTGCTTTTACAGTTCCTATAAATTGTAGTATAAAGTTTGTATACAAATTATATAAATTGTATGTCTTGATACTGCAACATAAACAATATGTAGGGGAAGTTTAGAATATCTTTAGGAATTCCAAGATATCTGCAAGGATTCATGGTATTTTGTTGTATTATTTGGTCTACTTTTGATATATCTTTGTGATGTTTCTAATGATCAAAAGATATCTTTGTAATATTTCCTTGCTTGTTAATAAAAGCAAAAAATACGTACTATAATATTCAAGAACAAAGGAGTTATTTGAGGGGAAAAAACAAGGAGTTATTTTGTGCTAAATATATGAACATATTCGTCCTGTTTAAAGAAAAAAGAAAAAGGGTAGTCCAAATCCCTAGACGATCAAGATCCGATTCGATTGAGAAAATCAGGAACAACCGTACTGCAGAGATCGTAATCTTTGAATTTTCACGAGTCTTACGAAATAAATCTTTGCTATTTCTCGATAGATTTTCTCGTATAGAATTTCAGAAACTATCCCAATACTGTAGGAGAAAACGTGCCTAAGACGTCAAATCAATTTTAAGGATAGGGTCCCGAAGGGACGGCCCAGTTGGGTTTGGAGGGAGTTGTCCACGCGGGTTCGATCTCCCCTCAATGCACTCTGGGTCTGAGCCTGTCGCACGGGCTTGCCTAGTGCGGTTTATATTTTCTGTGTGATTTGCAGGCTATTACACAGTGGGAGTTTATCCAATGCGCACAACCGAGGCTATAGCGGCTGCGGATTTTTCTAGGGTTCCAAAAAAAAAATTTAAGGATAGGAATCCAGACCTATTTCGCCTTTAGTAGCTTTATATGATTAATTCCCACTCCACATAACTTTGCAAAACTCCTCCACTTCTTATATGAGTCCGGAACTAAAATGNATATATATATAACGCCCTAGCATACCACCTATACCTTAACGGCCGTTTGTCCGTTAAGTTATAGCGCGGTACGATAGGGCGTTACATTTGAACTCAACTGGGCGGGAAGGTATAACGTCCTAATATAAGGCGCTATAGTATAACGACCTTACGTAAGACGCTATACCTATATAAATAAATGAGCCTTCTCCTTCCCCACCAAAACAAAACCCTTTCGCCCGCCCCCCCTTCCCCTTATTTTTAACCAAAAAAAATCGATTGGAGCCCACTGGTCTCACAAAAAGTGTAGATTTTCGGTCCTACATCGTATCTAAGGTGTTATATCGTAGTGGGTTGCTTGTTTCGGCTTCAAATTACCAAATTTTCAACTTTCCAAAAACTTTAAATCGAGGTATTCCGACTTATTTTTTGTTAAAACTCATGTATAAAAATACTAATTAGTTGTTTTTACTATGTTCTATGTTATTTCGTGATTGTTTTGCGATATAATTAATTTGTTATTTTTTATCCGAATTATATTATTAGTGTTCTAAAAAAATTAGTAAAATAGAGAAATTGTTATTAGTTGTTAAAAATATATTAATTAGTTGCTTTTTACATTGGTATATGTTTTTTCGTGATTAAACTAATTTGTTATTTTTTTCGGTTTAGATTATTTATTTGCTAAAAGACTCGTAAAATAGATATATAATAGTCAAAAATAGGTGAGTAACAAACAAACATATAAAATAATAAACAAACATATAAAATAATAAACTACCATATAAAATAATAGACCTGTTGCGTGATAAATTAGAAAAATTTTCTCATCATGAACACAAGAACATTGGATTCCTTGGTGCTACTGGGCCCCAAATATCGAGTCTGAAACCAAAATGTGGTTTATTTGGACTCAAACTAAGTATTGTTATATGAATATTTGATAATTAAATCCTGTATAGTTATAAAAATTAATTATTTAATTTTATTATAGTCAAAAATAGGCGAGTAACAAACAAACATATAAAATAATAATATATAAAATATAAAATTATAATATAGAAAATGTATCAACCTAATTAATAATATAGTAAAAAATATCGAATACATTTTAATATTAAAGATATTACAATATATTTAAAGATGTTAAGCAATGAAAAAGAAAAATACTTTAATTAATGTTGTTCAATTTATAGTAGTCGTCATGGAGGTTAAGCCTGTGCATCCCGGACCTGCCTCGCTGGAGCTATTGTTGCTATAGGTCGAGCATAGGTGTTCGTACCTATGGGAGGGGCAGTTATTGCCCAGACGTTCCGTGCTAGACGAGTAGACGATATGTGAGACTTTCTTAGGGCCCACCATCTCCATCCCCGTATATTGAGATGCCTTCAGGATACGGGTTTCTATAAGATTATTGTGATTGGCCGGCTGCTGTTGGATTGGTCGTTGATCACGGCTTTGATAGAGCGGTGGCGACCGGAGACGCACATATTTCATTTACCTATTAGTGATGCTACTATGACGCTTCAGGACATGGAGGTTCTGTATGGGCTGCCGGTTGATGATCATCCTGTAGCTTTACCACATGCTCTCAAAGATTATACAGGAGTGCAGTACCTGGAGATATTGCAGCGGCTCACCGGTTTCCAACAAGCGGAGGATGCTGCATTGGTTGGGGCTAGTCGTCTACAGTTAACGCCCGTCCAGTTGCATCTAGAAGCGATGTATGCAGACATTACGGATGATACACCGGATCTTCATATTAACCGGTACATGAGATTGTTGATGCTGCTTATGTTTGGAGGAGTATTGTTCCCGAACACTTTGGAAAACCTAGTCAGCTTGAGATTTCTTCATCATCTTGAACGGTAAGATGATTTACCTAGTTATAACTGGGGTGTAACTATTCTTGGTTACTTGTACAGGCAGATGTGCCGAGCTAGCATGGGCACCCAGCGC